TCCGCCTCCGCCTCCTCCGCCTCCGCCTCCACCTCCTCCTCCACCTCTCCTACCTCCGGCGCCGCCGACGTCTGGGGAAGCTCCGCTACCTTCAGCACCGCTCCTCGGGGGCGGTACATCCTCTTCCGCAGCGGCGACATCCAGCGCGAGCACAGAGTCGTGGGTGCGCAACACCGCTTTGCCCACTCCACGCTTCAGCTTTCCCAGTCACGAGGGCGGAGGCAACCATCAAGCTACTCACTCATCCAACCGCAAGTCCAAGCCGACATTCACATCAAAGCCCAGAAGATGATGCCCATCTTGGGCCATGGTATTGCTCTGCGCTCGCCACCTGTGACGAAGCTGGGTCTTTGTCCGCTACGCGTACCGCTTCACTCGCTATCCACCTTGCGATTTCGTCTTTCACGATCCATATGTCACTTTTCACATGTTTCTTCTCCCACGTCCATGCTGCTCGCAGTCCTTGAGGCGTCAACACGCGAAGTTGATCGCTGCGCTTGTGGTGGTATGTAGCGAGACATGAGACAAGATGGGGACGCACCCACCCTCGCCAATCGCTTGATTTATCTGATTGACTATTGAGGTGCATGAAGCCCCGACAACACTCCCGCGACTCACGTTCGCTCACGCGCGCCGCGTCGACACACGTGACTTGCGATCCGCCCTACTTTCTCTCGTAACAAGTAACAAGGCGTCAAACAAAAAATCGTGAATCATTATGAATCGATCAGACGGCGGCAGCATGGCATATGCGCGCTCTCTCATATCAAACAATAGATGCAATTTGATTAGGATGAGACGATGCAGTCATGATCTCTCAGGGACACGTGGTTGCCCGAGTGAATGGTGGGCTGTGAAGGGAGATGAACGGGTAGAATGATCATGCCAGCACACTAAAAGGTAAATCCGCGGTATTTGCTAGAGAGCGTCTTCATCCTGGCTATTTGTCCCTTTGTGAAACCGTAGGGTCTGTAGCAGTGCTGAGGTACGTAGTTCATAATGTTGGAGACATCGTCTTTGCCGGGCAAGTTGGGACAACTATCCACCTGACCCACAGGACAGCCGGAGGTGTAGCCTGTGGGAAATTGTTGTGCCGGCGTATCGTCCACGCCATCTCCTTCGCCGTCGCAGCCACCAACAAAGGTGTGTTGCAGACCGAAGCTGTTGTGGAAGTTGGGCAAATCTCGGCTCAGTGCATCGACACGCGGGGGCGCAAAATCCTGATTTGTGTGGCTTTTGCCGCACTCACGCATGACCCATCTCGTGCACCAACGTCATTCCAATCGACGTCGTCCCGTTGCGAACTTGGCCCGGCATCGTCTTGTAATCGAAACTGATGCCGTCTAGCTTGGGAGAGCCGGCGATGTCTTCTGGAAAGGAAGAGTATCCTTTGAGTTCGATGCCGCGCGCATCTGGAAAATCGAGCGAGTAGACGTTGATGGTGCCAGGCCCTCCAGTATGCAGAGCTTCCCTCATCTGTCTGCTGGCCGAGTCCTTGAGATAACTCAACGTCAAAGCCGTCTGGGCCCAATCGCTCCTCGTCCTTGTGATATTGGCAATCTCGAACTTGATGCCCAGCGTCTTGCTATACACATGGTTGAGCTTGCGCACCTGCTTTTTAATCGTGGCGCTAGAAACATTGCCGGCCTTCTTGTTGTACACGACGTGCCATGCGATCGGCACCACCGTCGTCTTTTCGCCTTGAGCTCGAGCACGAGCGTGATGACGAGGCGTAAAGTGCTCAGACGCATCTACGCGAGGGTGCAATTGCGCCAAGGGTCGCTCTGATCCACACCATGGCGTGGCATTTGCGATGCCACTAGCGGCCACCACCAGTAGCAGCAGCATGGAGACAAGGAGTGGGAAAAGGCGAAACATTCTTCTGCGTTGAAAAAAGAGAGCAGAAAAGGAGAGGGAGAGGAGATCGAGCACACGGATCAAGCAGAGCGCGTATGCCATTCTTTCGTTTGCTTTTTTATATGTTTTCCAAGGCCATCAAGACAGCGCCGAGACAGTGCAAGTGTCGTGTGCCTCATGTGCTGCGACGCCAGCGGGGCCGACCAGGTGTACAGAAGCTCCGCCTGCTGCGCTGAATACACACTATGTTGTCTGTGTGAGCTGCATACATGCTACTCACTGCTCCAAACTGTTCGGAGATCTTGTCCATCGGCATTTGTGCGTTGGGCATCAGTCTGTGGTCTGCGGCTGCTGGAGAGAGAACGAATCAGTGCGAGTCCAGCACCGGTGTGGTGTGTAAAAGACGTGCGTGGGCACGCCCTTAGCTGCGCGGGCTGAGACGTTCCGACCCCCAAATCAATTCACAAATTGTTGATGGGTGTGCCTTTCTCGGTGTTCCGCGAGCGCAGACACGCGTCCCGTTGTGACTCTTGCATGGACTCTGACTGTCCTGCACCCTACACCGCGGGGCAGGCACGATTACATACATGTGTGTACGGTATCACTGCGTTGACATTCGTCGACTCCTCAAATTGCGCCAATCCTATATACGAGCATACGTGCCGCCGCGCGTTTCTTGTGTGGATCGACGTTGGGCGATATAGAGATCTTGATGACCGCGCTCGTCCGCGGATGGTAGCTGAGACATATGATTGAGTCGGAGCCTGATTTGATTCACGACTGGTTCTGGACTTTGCGTGTATGTACCTAATTAGACTCGCGTCAGCACATCCGACGCATGCAGCGCGAGGGGTGCGCGGAACCGCGCGTCTCCGAGACAAGGCGGAACTGGGCGCTGCTGTGGCTCGTAATGGTGCGCAACACGCGTACGTGGTCCACAAGCCACCAAGCAATGAAGCAAGCGAGCTGTCAAATCAAGCAAGGAGTGTAGTAGTAGCAATTATAGTCTGAGTCTCAGCAGTCGTGCATGGATGGATCAGTTGACATTTGAATTCGTGATTGCAAATCTTGAATGAGGTTTTCTGGGCGGGGAAAGGCTGATCACAATCACAATCTTGAATATCCACGCTTGAATCGTGAATCAAGAAGCTAAAAGAGAAAGGGGTTCGAGCCGAGCAACAGTCACGTGCCTGTTGATGCGCACGGACTTCTTGACTTTCTTGCTGCTGATCGGAGCGGCAGGGGTGCCGCATCGACACGGAACAATCAAGCAGAGACGATGCTGCAGAGGCTCGACGTGCTGACGTGAGGCTGAATGCGTGGTCGCGAAGACGTCAGGGTGCAGCTATATATCTTATAGCATATGCGTGTGATGTTGTGCGCGTGCCGTATATAGCTGCTGCTCAGGTGAGCTACGCTTCATGGGCGGGCTTGTGCTCAGAGCGCCCGGACCCGGACCCTTTAGCCGATCGAGAGGATGACTGACGTGGGACATGTTGCGCGCAAGACACACACACACACACCCTTGACTTGCCATGAGGAGCGCGCATTTGTCATGCCGTGAAGGTGCATGTATGCGAATCATGCGAGCTGAGCAACAGCGGGCTTGTCATTGGCTGCGAGTCGTGAGTGCAGCGATGAGCCACACCCTTTGAGCGATCGGGATGATATCTGGGAACTTGTAAGAGAGGGCGCGCACCGGCCAATGTATGATCGATGCTTGGTGACTGTGAGACTCACACTGTTGTGATTCTTGGAGCAAGCTCGATGTGGGTTCGAGCCGATGGCGTAAGCAATCACGAATCACGAATCACGAATCACAGACCACTCAGACTCATCGCAGATTGTCAATCGTCGCGATAGCACACCGCAGATGCGCGGACTGACGCTTGCCGCACCCCTCCAAGCTGTACACCATCACCGCGCACTTGACCTGACACAAGCCCGGCTTGACATACATGTCTTTCCATTCCCTGACTTCTCGAGTGCTGCACGCGCTCCCATCCGCTTTCCATCCGCTAGCTACATCCTCGACGCCATTCACACCCTTCACTCGCGCTTCGCATAGCCATCGCCATCTTCGCACAAGACTCTTGCACACATCCCGCATCAACATGGCGCCTCAAAGGGTCAAGGTAGCCAGCAGCGATGCTGCGCCCAAGCCTGGGCAGCACAAGGCTTTCGATTTTGCCGGCGAGGGTGACGACAAGGTGCAAGTGTGAGTCAAAAGTTGCGCAGTCAGCCAATTGCTGGGGTGGTGGTGTGGTGTGGTGTGGTGAGGACCCTTGGCCAAGTCGCCCAGCCAGTATTGTTTCGCTCCTCACGCGCTGACTAATCCGCCGTCGATGATTGGCCTCGTCTCGTCTCGTCTCGTCTCGCATCGCCTCGACTCGCGCCCTTAGACTCGTCACCAACGTAGGGGGCAAGCTGAGAGCGCTGTCGAACAAGTGCACCCACTATGGCGCTCCCATGTCGAATGGCGTCATGAGCAAAGACGGATGCTTGACTTGCCCATGGCACGGCGCCAGGTTCGGCGCGGATGGAGACATCGAAGAGGCGTGAGTGCGCAAGACGGGCTGCGCGAAACATGGAGCGTACGCGCAGCTGATCAGCGCGAAAGCGTCGCTCTCTCCACGCGCGCGCGCGCATACATGCAGCCCTGGACTGGACTCTCTCGTGCAGTTCAAGATCGAGCAGGATGGCAATGGAGATGTGTATGTGACAGCAGATGTAGCGCAGCTCAAGGGCAAGCCTGGCGTACCTCCCGAGTTTGTGGGCAAGGAGGGAGCGCAAGATGGAGCTGGCGTGGTGATCGTGGGCGGAGGAGCAGCAGCGATCCATCTGGTGGAAAGCGCACGCAAGAACGGCTACACTGGACCCCTCACCATCCTCTCGGCTGAGCCGTATGCTCCAATCGACCGAACAAAGCTCTCCAAGGCTCTTATGGCCGATGTGGGCGCGGTGGAGTGGCGCAAGCCTGCACATCTGGAGCGAGTCCTCAAGGTCAGCCTGCGCACCAGCACAGAGGTGACGGGTGTTGATGTTGATGGGAAAAAGGTGAAGCTGAGCAACGGCGAGACTGTGCCTTTTGACAAGCTGGTATTGGCTACGGGTGGTAGTGAGTCTGATGCGCAGCGCTCGTGTGGGTCACTTTGCACACCGCTGACTATAGCGCTACCCGCAGCCCCCAAGCGCTTGCCAGTGCCCGGAGCAAAGGAGGGCGAGCTTGCAAATGTATTTACGTTGCGCAGCATCCAGGACACCAAGCCCATCAATGATACCGGCATCGAGGGCAAAGACGTGGTGGTCATTGGCTCCTCCTTCATCGGCCTAGAGTCCGCCGTCGCTTTTGCGGGCAAAAAGGCAAAGAGCGTCAATGTGGTGGGCATGGAGAGCGTGCCATTGGAAAACGTGCTGGGCAAGGAGGTAGGAGAGGGTCTTCAGACCGCGCTAGCCAAGAAGCAGAACCTCATCTTTCACATGAAAGCTGGCGTGAGCAAGTTGCAGGGCAAGGATGGCAAGGTGGCGAGCGTGATCATCAAGGATTCTTCAGGACAGGAAAAGTCTTTGCCTGCTCAGATCGTCTTGCTTGGCGTGGGCGTAGCACCTGCTACGCACTTCCTCAAGCCCGAATCGTCTCCTGGCTTCCCCCAGCTCGGCAAGGACGGCAGTGTGGCTGTGGGGTCAGACTTTGCCGTCAAGGGTCTTGAAGGCAAGGGAATCTACGCAGCTGGAGATATTGCCAGGACACCGGAGCGGACGAATGGTGGAGAAGTGCGCATCGAGCACTGGGACGTGGCAGGCAATCATGGCGAGTGGCGGCGCGCGCAATCCGAGCTGCGCCGATGCCATCACGCTGAACAAGAACTTTTTTGCCTTTCTCGCAGGCCGTTTCCTTGGCCAGCTCTTTTCTGGAAGCGCCAAGCCGGGCAAATTCGACAAGATTCCAATCTTTTGGTCGGCATTGGGCGCGCAACTACGCTACTGCAGCGATGGAAACACGCCCTCTTTCGATTCGGTCCACGTCGATGGCAATGTGGCGGAGAACTCGTTCGTTGCGACGTACGCGCGCGGTGATTCTGTCGTGGCGATCGCTACGATGGGCAGGGATCCAGTCATGGTGCAATCTGCCGAGCTGCTGAAAATCGGAAAGATGCCGTCCTTTTCGGATGTCAAGAGTGGCAAGGTGAGTGTGTGCGCGCGAACGTCGCGACGAGGTGGAGGACAGGTGCGACAAGGTCAAGTACACGTAGCGACGACTGGGCTGATGCCTTGCTCAACACACGATCCTGCATCACAGGACCTTTTGAGCATCAGTCTGTCCTGACGCACTCGTCGCCCTTTCTCTTCTCTTCTTGCCTCTTTTGCGCCTCATCACTTTCGTATACGCACGCAGCCCCTTCCCCTTCTGTCTGCCGTCGATGCGCCCGCAGCCAGATCAGCGCAGCTATGAGAGCAGGCCCCGTTCTGAAGAAGCGGGTCAAGCCGTGTAAAATTTCTAGCGTGTGAATCGCAATCAGTACAGCTCCGACGACGATGTGTACTTGCTGGCGTTGGGAAATGGCATTCTAGATCTTGTAGCGCTTCTGCCTTTCAATTGGCCGCCTTGCCTTCTGTGCGCAGATGCCTCTGCAGCCTGAGAGAAGCGCTTGATCTGTTGTCTACCCGCCAGCCTATCCATAGCCTCGCACATCCTCAACTCTTCCACCCCAGCTTTGTCCCTAGGTTCGATGGGAGCGGAAGACTTTTCATAGCGCGAGCTCGACTTGCTGTAAGCCCCGACGCCGACGCCGACGCCGACGCCGTTCGCGGGCGCAGGGACGTATCGAATGGCCAACTTTCTAGCTTCGTCCGTGATCCTCTCGATCATGCCTCTCAACCTCTTTTCCTGATCTTGTCCCACCACCAGCGGTGGTGAAGACGGCCTCCTATACTGTTGTTGCGAAGGATCGGCGGCGGCGGCAGCAGCAGCAGCAGAGCGCGAAAGTACACCCACATTACGAGCGCTGAGAACGACGTCGTGAGCTCCTGCTAGATCGCCCAGAACATCCCAACGCGTGCTCAGCGCTTCGGCGTACAGCTCTGGCGTGCTTCCCAACGCGATCGAAGCTGGTCCTGATAACCTCATGGCGCTCAGTACGGCCAAGGCGATTCCGGGCGCGTGATAACGTTCTCGCAGCGTCGTCACTAGACGAACCAACACGGGTCCGTAAAAGGGTGTGGAGAGACCGTAGAGTGGCGTGGGCAAAGATGCGGGCGAATTGGACACGGACGGCGTGGTGGCAAAGGGATCGTCTGGACGTGTCGTCTCTTGCGCATTCTCCGCCGCCTCTGCATCTTTGGCGCGAGTCAAAGCCGATGACGTGTCGGATGAGGATGAGGATGAGGATGCTTGCTGTGCGCCGGATGGAGGATGGGCAGGATTGGGCACGCCGAACACGTTGGTTTGTGCCCACTGCCAGACCTCCACTGCGCTGCAACAAGCGTCGATGGCAGCTTGCGCATCGTCCACTCCCTGTCTAAGCTGAATCGGGTCCACACCTTCAAGCGTCGTACCTTCCATCTGAGCCCCAATGGTTCTGATCGGTACTCTTCTCCTTCCCCTTCCACCCAAACCTCTTCCCGTCCAATCCATCTCCACGCTCGTCCCTGCTCCATCCTCCTCATCCACAAATCTCCTCCCCCCACCACCACCGCCGCCGCTGCCACTGTATCCGCCCAAGCGATTTCTGCGCGCAAACCTTTCCCAGCCGTGCGTCACGGAAGAGCCGAATGCGGATTCGTTGGGATTGGAAAGTCGACTGTGCAGCGGTCTGAGCAGTTCTGCGAACCTCTGCCTCTCCCAATCTGCCAAGGGCGTTCTGTGCGCTGCCTGAGACTGACTGCGACGAGCAGAAGAGGAAGAAGGAGAAAAGGGTGCACTTTTGCCCTGCGCCTCTGCGCGTCTTTGCCTCTCCTTGCCAAAATCCTCGCCTTCGTCTGCAAATCGATTGATCAGAGGCAGATGATCACCGCTACCGCTGAAACGCTGCTCCTCTGCAGGAGCATCGCCATCGCCATCGCCATCGCCATCGCGCAACCCCTCATTCCAGCCATGCTGACGCAATTCTGCCGGTTCCTGGTGCGACGTGCGAGGAAAGAGCTGAGCAGCAGTGTACGCTCCCGCTTCGCCATCATCGTCGACGAATGGCGCATCATCGTCCACTTGACGCGTCTGTGCCTGCGCTTGCTCTTGCCCCGCTTCATGACGCTCATCTGCTCCATTCACATGCCTGCCCGCCGACCTCTGGCCACCTTGATCGTCAGCTCTACGAACAGCGCACCAGTGCAGACATCTTTGACCCTCGAAGGCCACGCTTCTCGATGCGCAGCACGCACTACGACGGATGGAGCGAGTAGGAGTAGGAGTAGGAGTAGGAATGGTGCAGGATGAAGATGCGGTGCGGCGCACTGCTTTTCGTCGACCCAAAGTAGCGCAAATGGGAGGAGAAGCGGGAGGAGGAGGAGGAGGAGGAGGAGCGTAGCGCAAGACCACACCCAGCGCGCCGTCCCATGCACGTGATGCTGCCATGATGGCTGGATGGCTGGATGGATGGATGGATGGATGGATGACGCTTTACGCTTGACTGTTGCGATGTGCTCGATGTGATCGGTTGGCTTGCAGGAGAGTGGTCTGGGTGCGAGTGCCTTTTGAGAGAATGGTGAAGGGTGTGCGTGCGTGCGTGCGTGCGTGCGGGCGCGTGTGGGTGCGTGGATGTGGCGTGTGGGAAAGCGCTGCGTTTGCCTGCCTGCGAGCTTCTGAATTCACCGCAGCTCAGAAGAATGGTGAATGCTTGTTGTGAATCAAGAATCACAATGGTGCAGCTATAGGCGCGGCGCGGCGCGGCGCATATGTGTGCAGCTCAGAGAAAAATTGTCAGTCGACTGTCACGTGAGAGTGAAGGCGGGTTGACGGGGCGTGCTGCTGCAAGTCAGCGAGCGCTGCATGGGCGCCGCGTGTGGCTTGATTGGCTTGCGCGAGGAATGTCTTGGGGGTGGCGCATGTGCGCATATCGGATGTGTGTGCGCGCGCGCCCATCGATCGAGCAGGTCATTCTGATTCTCGATGGCACGAGCTGCTGGGCTGGGCTTAGCGTGCGCAGATGTGGTGGAGCAAGACTGGTGATGTGAAGCGAGTCAGAGTGATTTATTTGCAGCACAAATTAGGAAATGCGAATGTTTGAATGAGAGGACAGATTGCAATCAAGTGACTGAAAAGTCGCACTCACTCACTCACTCACTCACTCATGCGCGTGTATGCCTGTGATTGAAGTCCAATCAAGACCGACCGACCGCGCGGTCCGGCTCGCAAATTTGTTGACTGCATGTATGCAACTCACACTGATGATGAGTCGCGCGTGTCGACATTGACGTCTGTCTGCACAACTCCCATCCCAAAGAGGCATCCTGGCCGCAATCAAGCATCAAGCACGGACCGACGGAGGGGACGGATGGAGCAAGCGTGCGCGCAAGCCAGCCAGCCAGCCAGCCAGCCAGCGTCTATAGCAGTCTGCATCCCCATTCATTGCAACGACAAATGAAATGGTCTACTCAAATGGGCACACAAATGAGCCGCGTGGCTACACCTATCAACTAATCGAGGCGATTGCTGCTGCTGCGACCCGCGGCCGACCTTGCAAACGGAGCGTTATTGCGCGGTACCCGGAAATGCCCCTGACTGCATGGAAGGTTGCCTCTGCAGCAGCGATGCTAGGATGTGGGGATGGTGGGATGCGGGTTTGGTGGATGATGCTCGAAGCGCGTTGCTCAAAGTCTCCAAAGGGCAGGGGCAGGTGGCCATGTCGGCGTGTGCGCTGCGGCCACCGCCATCCCAACCCACTTCTCACCCTTCCCTTCACTCTCTCGTCTCATCCTCCCTTTCACCACCAACCCATCCATCCAACTTTTCACCTCACCTCTCCCATCTCTCGCACACCTCTACCCGCTCCACGCCCAAGCCCCCATCCCACTCGACCCGCATTCACCCAACACCTTGCTCCAACATGCACGCCTCACCCATCGCCCTCTTCCTCTTCGCTTTCGCATGCGCCTCTTCTTTGGCTCAGACGACATCGCAGGATCAAAGCGCTGCTGGCGCTAGCGACAGCGATCTCACCATCCTCAACCCTACGAGCGGGGCGACCTGGACTTCCAGGACTCAGACGCAGGTGTCGTGGAGCGGCACCGCGCCTGCCAAGTTCAACATCCAGTGAGTCGTGCGTGCGTGCGTGCGTGCGTGCGTGCGTGCGTGCGTGCGTGCGAGAAGGCTGTGCTGGCGTAGGGCCCTGCTCTGCTGCGCGGGCTCACACCACCCCGCTTCTTCTTTCATCAGGGTTCTGAATGACAACAACAGGATTCTGGCAAACGGCATCTCAGTCGCCAACAATGTCGACGCTTCCAAAGGTTCCGTCACGCTGACGCTCGGCGATTATGCTCGTGAGTCCGCACGCAAACACGCACCACACGCACACAAACAGGCGCTTTTGGCCTGTTCCATCTGCCAAACTATGCGCCGCTCGCCCCGCTCAACATCATCGCATCTCCTCACCTTTTGTCTTGACAGCGGCCGACAATTATCATGTCCGGTGAGATGAGAGCTGCAAAGTGACTCTGCTTGAAGAGGAAGGGAAGGAGGGCACGGAGGGCAGCATTGTATTGTGCTCATCTCATCGCCCACGCTTGCTTCCACCGCGGCAGTTTCTACTCCGTCTCCAACATCAGCACCGAGTATGCGCGCTCTGGTCCCTTTAGGATCCAAAGACCCGCACATGGTACGGTGACCAGCAACAGTACGGGATGGAGCCAATCGGGCGGCGGCAACGCGAGCGCGGGTGCCAGTGCCGCTGCCGGTGCCGGTGCCGGTGCGAGCAGCGCCAATTCGAGCACATCCAACAACGGCAGCAACGGCACCGGTTCCACTTCCACCAACACCAACGCCAACGGATCAAACGCTGCTACAGCCGCCAACAACGTCAACACCACATCTTCTCGTCCGAGTGAGTAGGGCTCAGCACTCGTTTTGTCTCCACCCATCAACCCTTGGCTTTTCGACGCGCGCCTAACGAGAGGGAAGTTTTCATTTTTTATTCCCACATTTTCCTTGCCCACAGCGACTTCGCAAGGCAGCAGAGACGCCGCTGCTGCTGTGCGTACGAAGGATGCCCAACTTTTGCTCGGCGTCACGGTGGCCTCGACAGCGTTGATTGTGGCCTGCTTGAGCCTGCTCTGAACAAGCTGCAACAGGCAAACACATCAGACCATCCCCTCTCACCTCCCCCTAGCCCGCTTCCGTCGCTTCCCCTTTTTCCAAAACACCCCCCACCTTGCCACGCTCTTCCTGTTTAGCTCGTACAGCGCCACATCTGTCCCTTGTCCATTCTTGCGATGGACAGGCACGCCGCCACGGGGGGAGGGGGGCAGGCGGTGTGGTCGGACAAAAGAAAAGGCCGTCGCGTCGGGTCGCGTCGCGTCGCGCACCGCAGCGCAGCGCACCGCACCGCACCGCAAACGCCCGCTTCGCACCCCCTGACGCCAACGACAATGGACATGATCATCGTTGTCTTACAAGTCGTGGGAAGCGAGCCATTTTTCGATCTCGTGAAACGGAAGCGCTCACTTTGAGTCTGTCCTTGTCTTGAAATTCCTCGTCGCCACGACTTACCACTCGATGATCTGAATGTGCATGATGGATGCCGTGATTTGATCGAGTCATCAGCAAGGTGCGGGGCGCGGTGCTGTGCGGTACGGGCGCGATGTGCTGCGCCTGCGCCTGCGCCCGCGTGTGCGCGCTTAGCTTGCTTGCCCACTGGTGTTTATGCCAGGCGTTCGTTCACTCGTGACTGTCATTTGCGCGTGAGCAAGTCGTGAGTCTGACCTTTCTGCTTTGCTCCGGTGGCAACTGGTCCCGGAGCTAGCACTCGCTCTTGACTCGTACACACTTTTTGGCAAGCAAGCAAGCAAGCAAGCAAGCAAGCAAGCAAGGGAAGAAGATCAGGAGAGGTTCGTGTCAGGCATGCTTACCGTCTGCTATGAAAGTGACGGTGCTTTGTTGCGAGGAAGAGATCGGTGGGCTAGACAGCGCTAGCTGGGCACGAAGCTTGGAAAAGCTGTTGGATGAAGAGACTTGCAGAAGGGAAGCGGATGCTCGAGTCTTTTGCTTGGCGGGGGTGGATGGTGTTGCTCTACAAAGTTGGTACGAGGCGAAGCGAGCCGTGCTTGGTCCCTGCACCCTGCTCGTATCGAGTGCATCACCAGACACGAGCGCAAAGTCCGGCGTCGGCATGCTGCTTCGGCACCCATTCATCGCTCAGCAGCAGCAACAGCAGCAGCAGCAGCAGCAGCAGCAGCACGCACCTTGCTCTCTCCATCCTTGCATCGCACCATCCCACTCAAGCACATCAGGTTCGTTGATCGCTTTCAAAGTCTCCGGCGTGGTCATCGCCACGGCCAGCACGCATCGACTTGCCGAAAGCTCATCGACGAGCCTTTTAAAGATCGTCGCATTTCTCGATGCGCTCACGCAATGGGCACGTCAAGTCATTCGGTCGGGACAGTGCTTGCTCTTGATCTTGCATCTCCCACATTTGCCGTACTCGCGTCGAGAGCAGCAGCTCTCGAATGGGAAAGAAGAAGCGACCGCCGCTGACGACCTGCAAGCCGCACTCGCTCGCCTCTCTGCTGTCGGCCTTGCCGATCTGTCTCTCACAAGACGAGACTCACAGTCGAGCACGAGCACGAGCACGAGCACGAGCACGAGCACGAGCAGCAGCTTTGCCCCTTCATGTCTCTTCTTAGGATCGCTCGTCATGCACTCTCGTCTCACCTGCCTGCTCGATCATCGTAGCAGCCGTGACGAGCAGCAGCATTACGCTCTCCACGCGTCGTTTCGAGACGCTCGTCGCATCTTTGCCTGCTTCTTTGGCTCGCAGCTGCACGGCACCGACACGTGCGACTCGGACATTGACATTATGGGTCTCCTTCTGCCCACTCCTAGAGACATGCTTTTGGGCATCGGAGCAAGCAAAGAGGTAGCTCATCGAACAAAGGCAGCTTTGGAAAGGAACGGAGCGGAAGATGTGGATACAAACTTTATCACTCCTTTGGATTTTATCGAGCAGCTGGCAAGCGGTCAACCGATAGCGTGGGAGATGCTCTTTGCCCCTCCCCACTCTCACGCGCCCGACACGACCGATGAGGGGCTTGCATTCCTCGCAGCTGTGCGGGAACAAGTGCCACAACTTTTGACATCAAGCACAAAAGCAGTTCGAGGTCTGATGGATAATTTCGAGCGTCGCATCAAGAGAGAATTGCAGAAGCGTGAGATGAGCGCGTCGGACGAGAGGGTACAGGGTCAGCTGTACAAATCCGCCGATGCAAAAAAGTTGGCTCATTCTCTGCGCGTCTGTCAGCAAGCCATCGAGCTGTACGAGCATGGCCGCATCACCCTGCCGCGCCCAAACGCTGAGCATTTGCGCGTGATCAAGCGCAAAGAGGTGCCACTGCACCAAGTGCTGGAGCAAATTGACCAGGCAAAGAGTCGCTTGCTGGAAATTCGTGGAGCAGGCGAACGCAGAGAAATCTCGGACAAGACTGGCGCGTACGATGCGATCGAAGCTCTTGTGCGCAAGCATCTCGGCATGACTCCGCGGTCGACGTAGGTGTCTGCAACTTTCGCACAAGTACGCCAGGCTGGGCTGGGATTGGCTCGGCAAGTTTGAATGCCCAGACAACTGGTGCAAGTCCGACAGATCCACTTTGCAGCCTATTTGGCATGTCCTGCTGACCTGCGCTGCTGGACGTACACGGCTCAAGCAGCACCCCAAGGTCCTCGCAAGATACTTTCTGCCACGCTGTTCCGTATTTCGCGAGCATTTTCGTCTTGGCTTGACCGATGCAGACGTGTGGGATCGCTCGCTTTGTTTGTGATCTTCGACTTGAGGAAAAATCCAACCGCAAGCGGGCCGAACAGAGTGTTCAGGACGATGGCCCAGACACCAATGTTGAAAGCGTCGTTGCCTTGCGGCGACGATGCTGGCAAGATGCCGGCCTCTGCAAGGGTCGCACGGCGGTCAGCATCGAAGGAGGATCAGACGAGCTAGAGCCGACAAGATTGCTTCACTCACCTCTTGCGAGGTTGATGATGATGAAACCGACTTCTCCTCGACTAACCAAACACAGACCCAAGAGGAGTGCAGGTCGCCAAGCCGATCGGACAGCACCATCGGAGGAGATGACTGGCGCTCGAGCAGGAAAGTCCTGCGGCGCAGCCCTCAACTCGACGTCGAGCGCGATGCTATCGCTAGCCTCTCCCGACCGCTCTGCCCCCGGACAAAGTGTCGCATGTTGGGGTGATGTGCGAGTGACGTGATTTGGCGCCTCGACACGTCTGCTCAGAGCACTCTCCAAGCGTTGGGCAAGCAAGATCCATAAGCCAGGAAGCACCTTTGCAAATGCCATGACACATGCGTAGACCCAGCCTTTCCAGACGACTGACGGGGTGAAGAGCTGCCTGACGGGGATAGCCATGCCAATAGAGGAAAAGAAGAATGGTACCAGGATGTATGCTGCGGGTGTGAAGCCAGAATGGGTCAGCTTGCCTTTTTGCAACGCAAAGTGTGCAATTGCTCACCCGTAATCTCCTCCAGCTTAGCCCAGGCTTTTCCTGGCTCGAGTTGATCTAGCAAGCTCGCAGTGACGGTGGAGTTGATCGTGACGTGTTCTTCGGCGACGGTCCTCCTAATCTCGACGAGACGCGAATGAACTGTTGATGCGAGGAGGCCATCGGGGCGTGTCAGGTAGCACGCACGTAGTGAGAAGGCTCGACGCAAACTCACGCCAAGTTGTGCTTGCTCCTGCACAGAAAGCGCCTAGCAGCATCGTGCTGCCACTGACATGAGCGAGGGCTACGAATGCGCAGATGCAAGCGATCAGAAGCAATGAGGAGATGGACGATGCGTGGGTCTTGACAAAGTTCAAGAGGATTCGACGCGTGCGGATCGCTTGCACCTCGGGTCGACTTTGCTCTGAGCGCCTCGCCAGCAGTAAAACTACGTAGGCCGCCAGACGACAGACAGTCACGGTCACCAGTATCAGTGCAAAGCTCGCAACGACGGGACGAGCAAGAGGCCAACGGGATGTAGAGGGTGCCGCCTCGGCGCTCTCTGCATGACCCAAGCTCGTCACGACGCTGGCCAACACTAGTCCAATGACGTCGTCCAGCAAGGCGGCGCTGACGAGAATGGAGACGATGCGCGAGGTGCCCAGCTGGGATGTTGGCTTTGGCTCGCAACGCAAAGCAGATGATTTGTGGGCCGCGTCGCCCTGCGCGGTATTGATCGCCGCAGGCGATGCAGCAGATGGGCCGCCGGGATGGATCGCTGCACCTTCATTGCCAGATGTTACCGCGCCAGTCTGCCTGATCAGAGCTTCATCTTTTGGTGCCGTCTGTTCAAGATGACCACGCTTGTCAGGCGTGGCTTCCTCGCTCTTGAGACTCTGTGAAAGCGCTTCCAAGACTGCAAAGACGGTACCGAGGCTAGTCGCACTGAGCGCAGCGCCCGTCGAAAATGCCTGGAGCGTCGAGTAGCCGTACGCAGGCAAAGTGAGCAGAGCAAAGCTGAGACCGATGGGGAGACCTATGCCTGTCAGTCCTACGAGGATGGAGAGCAGCAAGTTGCGAGGCTGCGAGAGCACATCCAGACGCGTCTCGCTGCCTCCTCGCGCAATGAGGAGGAGCAGGCCAACGTATCCAAGCTGTTGTGCCGTCTGCTCAAACGTTTGCGGCAAAAGACGCAGCAGAGGCGTGCCAAAGACTGCGCCAAGTAGTAATTGGCCCAACAAGCCCGCATACAGTGTGGCCGAGAGGGCCCAGTGAAGCACTGCGAGGGGACGACGAGGAATGAGGGGGGTCAGTTGTGATCAAGGGTTGCAGTGCCTCATCAAGACGATCGCTGGTCCTCACGACTCAATCCAACGATGAAAGCAGCGATGATCAAGAGGAGCACCCAATCGGGCTCCGTGTAAGCTAGAGCGTCCATCTGACAGCCAGAGAGAGACAAGAGACGTTCTTCGTGCGAGTTCGAGATTGCGTGATGCCCCCCGCCCCCGAAGCGCACCGTACCTCCCCGCCTATCGCATGTCTTGCACCCGCGCTGTTTATAAATACCCTGCCTGGTCCTTCTGCCCGCTTGAGGATGATGATTGGAGAGAAAGTCTAATGTGACTCGAATTGCGATGCCAAGAGGTGAAGAATTGCACGCACGCACGCACGCACGCACGCTGCAGGCGTACAACTTCCACTCGCAGCTTGTGCCAAGGCGCCAGCAGGCCTGCTGCATGCTGCGTGTCCCAGGCAGCGCTCATCAGAATGCGTGCGTGCATGGCTCGACGCGCTTAGATTGCACATTCACGCGCACGCGCACGCGCACGCGCACGCGATTCGTGCGTGTGTGTGTGGATCTTCAACCTCTTGACTCCAAACTCTCGACTCTCGACTTGAAGATTCACACCGCATTCGTGATGCATGATCACCTCGCGACCCTTCGATTAGCCAGGTTCGGGACCTCGCATCGCGAACGACATCCTCAATGCCCACACACGCCTTGCACGTGCCATCCTCGCAATTGTCTGCACGCATTCGGAATCAATGCTCCACTTTTCACACCAGTCGGGCACCACCCCCCGTCCAATCGGTCATCAGATCAGAACATGATTGATCAGGAAAAGGCCAAGCGCGGATGCGGCTCCAGGCGTAACAAGCATGCCTTCTTCTTCTTCGACACTCAGAGGTGGTAAGCGGTCGAAGCGTTGCTGAGATGGGATGAGATGAGGTCAAGGGGGAAATGTCAAGTGCTGTCAGATCAGCCCTCGGTGCGCAAGCAGTGCGGACGAAGGAATCACACGCAACTCACGTGTTGAAGATGTTGTTCAAGCTCTGTTCAGTGAGACCCATATCAGCAAGAGCTTCGCGCGTCACTTCGAACCACTTTTCAGGCGGAGACAGCTTGGCATACTCTTCGTCTTCGCCAGCGATTTGGGAAGCCAGATCTGTGCCGGCCGTCAAGGAAGTCTTGTTGATGTGAGCGGACCAAACCAGCCTCTCTTCCCCAAAAGCTTCCAGCGCAGCATCCAAGAGCACGCGCAACCTGGCTCGAAGCTCATCCCTGCGACCCTGAGGCGTATTGTTGGCAACAGCCTTGGTGCCCGCTAGACCCGCCGCAGAGGCCGCTCCAGCTGCTACCTCTGTGGCAGTCCTCACTGCAGCGGCTGCTCCGTCCAGCGCAGCCTGAGCCGTCGAAGCGATTGTCGCTCCTCCAACAGCGCCCGATAGGGGCGCAGCAATGTCGACTGCGCGACTCGCAGTGCTGCCAGAAGTGATGGGAGAGGGCAACTTGAGGGGCGACAATTTCAAAAAGACGCGCGGATGCAGCGCAAGGCGCTGTGGAGAGTGGTTCATTCAGAGCAAGATGCGTCAATTGTGATCATTCGTCGAGCAGCGCTCGCCCCCTCAACGAGCAGCAAGCACCACTCACGCGCACAAAGCCAGTCCACTCATTGACCACTTCGCTGGACAGCATCTGAGAACTGTCGTCATTCAGAGGTGGTGCACCCCATCCATCTGCATGGACGCGAGAGGAGCAACATTGTCAGCTCATTGCTCGGAAGCGTTCGTGTAACGTCGCAAAAACCCAAGCCGGGGGGGAAGGGAGGTGCGCATACAATCGCCTTTTCTTGGCTCCATCGCGGGTCGATGACTCACCAACGACAATCTTGAGACCATTGCTGGCAATGTCTTCTTGCGACTTGCCGTCCGCCTTGCCCCTTTGAACTTCCTCGTCCCAAGCTTTGCTCAGCAGCTCCTCTACCGCTTCTCTGAGGTCGTCCGCCTCTTTCTGATTGGCAGCAGAGGAAGCCAAAGGAAGAGCAATGTCGAATGTGAGATTCTGTTTGCTTCCCTCTGCGAACAGCTTGAGCCAATCCTCAAAGTTGTCCTTCAGCGCCTTGGCGGTGGTGAAGGAGGGCAGGCTGTAGCTGAGCAGCATGTGCACCGGGTTGGCATCCTTTGGCAGCGCGGGTGGAGCTCCGACTTTGGGAATCTCGTGCAAGGGTGTGATGAGACCTAGTGGCACCTGATTCGTCGCCCCAAGAGTGACCTTGATATGCGCCGTATCCTCCACGCCCTCGTGCGCCTTGCGCTCGTAGATGATTCTGTCCAGCTTGATAGCGGAGCCTGCTTCGCTGCGTGGAATGCCGAATCCTTGAGAATTGTACTTTTGCGTGACCACATCCACATCCTTGGCATCGCCGCTACCTCCGATGACCAGCGAGAGCTGCGTGGGTCGAGTGATGCTGTGCCCCTTGGATTTCGGCGTGGCTGCACCAGGCTGCACGTTGGCACCAAAGGCCTCCTTGGAGAGGGGTGCCAGGTTGGCAGGACGCTTGCTCTGAGCCATGGCGACTGACGAGCGACGAGCGACGAGCGACGAGCGACGAGTTATGAGAAGGAGTTGCTGAAGCGCGCGACGACGTCGAACACGTCCTGAGTGGATTGAATGGCTTGAGGAGATGAGGGAGCGACAGTGCCGCCTTGCTGAGCGATGAGACGTGCTCGATAGTAGCCGATGAGGGAGATGATGAGGGCGATGAACAATAAGCTGCACTTTCCGCAACAGCCTGCGCAACCTGCTGGAGATGAAGCTGCTGCTGCGTCTACGGCGTCTCGACGTGGCATGCGCGAGAGGCGGATCGGATCGGTTGTATGCTGTTGTGCTACGCGTCGCGATTGCTGCTCGTGCGTGGGGAAACAGGCGCGGGTTGAATGTGCCCTTGCACTTGGAAATATAAAGTCACAAACGCGAATCGAATGGAATGACGAATCAGTGAATAGCTCTCGAATCAGAATCGTGAATCACGAATGAGCCATGTGTAGCTCTGATCTCGCTTGTGACGTGACTGCGACTGCGACTGCGACTTCCATGTGACTCGTTGGGCAACGACAAGCAAATATCGGGGGAGGAGCGAGTGAGTTTGCTCGCCCAATACCGCGCGCGGTACATGTACCTACAGTAGTACACCCACACAGCCAACATGCAGCAGGCAGCAGCAGCAGCGACAGCGACAGCAAGCGCATCAAAAGCAAGCAAGCAAGCAAGCAAGCAACCCGATCACGACCATCATGCAGTCATGCAAATGTGGAGACGCGCGAGGCGGGTTCGTGATTCAGCAGCGGTCGCACGGACACCCACAGGCAGCCAAGTTGTGATGAGCGAGCGATCGAGCGGCTCTTGCGCTGCTGAGGTGCATGCGCCAATGCCGCCCCCGCATGAATGCAGCTCAGCAGACCCCATGCTGCATGCACGCACCCGAAGCAGTCGCGATCGCGAGTTGCACGCTCCATCCATGCTCCACGCGCCGTGCAGACCGTGCACCTCACCCGCGGGTGCATGCTCTAGCAGCAGCAGATCATCCAGCAGTGTGAGTGCAGGACCAATTAAGTGACGCGCAGCAGCAGCAGATCATCTACTCGTGACTGTGACTGCAGGACCAAGTGACGCACAGCTGCCCGCTATCCATACCCCCACACATCACACGCTCGGCACGCCAGCACTCGGTCTGTGATTCTGACTCTTGACTCAAAAGTCATGAGCCCGTAATTCGTGACTCTGGCGGCGATCATCCATCCGACTTTGAGACATGGCCACCTCGATGATTTGCGTCTGAACAGCAGTCCAAGGTCACCATCGTGTGGTGCATATATGCTGTGATTCTCTGATGGCACCGGGAATCACGAGCGGCTCACGGACCGCAAAGGTGCTCGCTCCCCCTCATCGTGCACTCACGACTGTGCTCCCCTCATCGTGCGCTCACCCGATTCGATCACGACCAAGCCAATCTTGAATACACGCAGACCGCTAGAGTGAAATGTTTCAGTATTCGTGGGCCGCAAGCGAAGCTGTTCTGCCCCTCGTGAGTAGTGCTGCGGATACGAGCATCGATGTTGCAGGCACAAAGCAAGGAGATGGGCTCGATGACATGCGAGCTTCCTTGCTCGAAGCTGGAAGCTGGCCAGGCCAGGCCAAGCGAGCGGGCGGGCAGGCGGGCAGGCGGGCAGGCGCTTGGTCGCTTGCGCGCTGCTGTGTGTACGTAAGCTCGCCAGCGGCGTTTCGCGTGAATGCGCGCTGCGTTATTGACGCGCTCGGCGGCATCGTTCACCGCGCACGCTTGAGGGCTTTGAAGCTAATCCAGGTCATGAGCAGCGCTCGCTTGCAAGTCGACTCGCAATTCGCTGACCTTCTCCCGTCCCATCCGTACCGAGTCTGGGTCAGCCACATGATTGCTGCTATGCTCGATTGCTCAAGTGTCAATGTCATGGCCGTCCCGACACGCAGTCGTGAGTCGAGCAGTGCCATGGCCGTGATGCTTGCTGACGGCTTGAGCGTGGTGTGAGTCACAATGAATATGCGCCATGCTTCCCTCCTCCCTGAAGGGTCGAGCGTGCAGCAGGCTCTTAAGTTGCGCGTGCTGCATACGCGCGCGCGTTGGTCCAGCGGAATCTCAACGAATTCACGTGATTCAAATCGCAGATCATAATTTGAATCACGAATCACGAATCAAAATGAAGCAATATTCAAATTCCAGTCGTGAGGCTGATGTTGAATGCGCGCGCGTGGCACAGTTTCGCATGAGCTTGCATGCATGCAGGCGCCTCGCGATCGCTGCTACGGCTGCCCCCGCCCGCGCTCGATTCAAGGTTGTGCGTCACGCGTCACGCGCACACACCCATCCTTGAGCAAGTCGAATCGTGAATTTGAATGGCGTGAGTTCAGAGTGCGGAGTGCGAGCGAGTTGTTGGTGTGAGTTTCGTCGAGGGTCAGTAGCACTAGCATCCAGTCACAAAAATATATCATCTCACAGAAGAGGCAGCACGCGATGCATACATACGTATGTGCCATTCTGTGCTGATTTGCATGCCACACGGCGAGCGCGCGGTACCATGCAGCCGCCCATTGCAGCACCCCCGCGCCGTAGTACTAGTAGCCGCCGCGCGCGATGGCCTCGCCCATACGCAACGCGCCGCCGCACCAGCAGCATGCAGCACCAGCACCAGCACCAGCACCAGCACCATGCAGCACCGCACCACCGCACTACCGCACCACCGCACGGCAACCCATGCAGCATGCATCCGCGCGCGCCCTGCTCGCCGATTTAACTGACGACTCGTGACTGCTGCTGCTGCTGCTCCTGCTGCTGTTCCTGCCACTTTGACTCGTACATAACTTCTGTACACGCGTGACTGCCGCTGCTGCTGGCTGACTGGCTGGCTGACTGGCTGGCTGTTGCCTGCCTGCCTGCCTGCCTGCCTGCCTGCCTGCC